ACTTCCTTTTATTTTGAACCCTTCTTAAGAACTTCAAGGAATGCTACTGAACCGCTAGGGCTCATCCTCCTTGGTGCCAATGCGTGGCAAGACTTTTTTTTTTTTTAATAACCACAAGCATTTGTACATGAACCCAATTCACTGTTTCTAGATCATTAAAGAAATATGAATACATCCTTTTTGATTTGCAGGGATGCCTGGAAGTACTCAGACTCAAGTCACAGGAACAACAACAACAAAAAAAACCCAAGCTACAATGTGCTCAATCCTTGGTAACTTCTGCCAACAGAGTCTACATATTTTGATAAGGTCTCACTTGTATGCCAAGTATTTTCCCCACAATATTCCTTTATAATCCCAGTGATCTACAGAATTTTGTCCATTTTGGAAAGTCACAACATATAACAGATGATCAAAATAAACATTAGAAAATTGGGTAATGAAAAGAACAAATAGGGAATCAGCAAGTGGTAATGGAGTAAAGTCAATTTTGCCCTCTTTATTACCCTCTCTTACCTCCCACCCCCTAAAATCTTGTAATTTAGGGCCTATGTGCCCACATTGCAGATGTACTCATCTCTCCTCCCAAAATTGGTCTTTTTGTCCCATATATCTTGATTGTGTTAGTACACCATGCAAGAGACTTAATACTCTCTGATGAATGTGATTTACCAAGACTACTTGCCGCAGACACCGTGGGCTGTCTTTATTCTGTCAAAGCTCTGCCTTTATTCTGATATCCAATCCTCCCACAAGTGGCTCAGATAAATCCTGTTGGATGGAAAATAATCATGGTGGTCTCCAGTGACTGCTCTGGACCAATGAGATGTGACATAAAGTGTGCTGGAGGATGTCTGGGAAAAGTATTATCCTAGCTCTTAAAAAGGGACTCAGAGAAGAAATAATGCCTCTTCTGCTTCTGGACAAGCACTGACATGCAAGGACACAATGCAGTACGCTGGGACTCTGCAAGGAGCTAGCCAACACAAGATGCTGACTGAGCAGGAACATGGAAATAGTTTGAGTCCTTCATGAGCTGAGAAACTAACCAACTCTCAGGACAGATTCTGTGTCATGACACAACAGATCTCCTTATTGTTTAAGCCATTTTGAATTGGATCTTCTGTTTCTTGCAGCCCAAAGCATCCTAAATGATACCATATCTCTCTGGGGAAGCAAAACAGTCTTCTGCCTCTCCAACACCCCCGCAACAAAGGAACAGTTGCTCCAAAAAAGGAAAGAGACTAAGGTTTATTTCTCAATAAGTATTTTGGGAAAACCAGCTGTGAAAAGGTATTTTTAATATCTACTCCTGATGTATGAAGGGTTCTTTGAAATCCTTCCTCACTGCATACACTGTAATAAATCCACACGAGCCACTACGAATGGTATGTGTGGGGATATACAACATACTTGGAGCCATAATATGTAAACATTAGGAAATTACCATGAAATTAGTCTTTTTTACTCATCTACTCTTATCTCCTCTTACGATTATAAGAGTGGGATATTTTTCTTGTGTCCTGCTCCACCTGATAAAAATAACAGAATTATACAAATGGAGGAGAAAGAAAACTGAGGCTCAAAGAGGTAGAAAAATTGGCACAAGAATCCACAGCTAGCTGGGAATGATTTTTTTTCTTAAGTAAAAATGCCTTTTGCGTGATTTTAAAACAAAAACATTTGTTGAAAACTCAATGCAAAGTCAAACTGCAAAGACTTGGAAAGTCAAAACTGGATTTTTAAAAGCTAATTTAATCATGACAATAAAATCTCCCTTTTGAATTCACTGCTTTGAGCTTCTTCTTTCTAATATTCACCTACATCCCAATCCATATTCCTCTCAATACCATTTCTCTCTCCTAGAAAATCCTTGCGTATGGCCATTCTCTGAGCCAGTGGTTCTTAGATCACTGTTCACATAATAATTACCTGGGAAATAAATCAGAAATGCAGATTCCCAGGCAGAGAGCCTGACTGAGTAGACCCACAGAGCCCAGAAATGTCAATGTAAACAAGCACCCCGGGTGATTCTAACCATCCTTTGAGGCACATGACTCCAGACTGTATACTAGATTCCAAGATCCAAACAGAAAACATCTAATTATCATAGTAGATTTAAGCTGAAACTACAAAAATATGTGCATGGTTGCCTATAATTTTTATGTTCCCTCTGAGGTCTGAAACAAATCCAACATCTCTATGATTTGGATGTGCCCTGGTAATCATTTGCTTTAGAGGTTTGGAGTTTTTATCCTTCCCCCGACCCAAGACTTTTTCCCCGCCTCTGCATGAATTTTTAGCTGGGATTTAATAAAAAATGCCTTAATTCTCCCTCTGTGGCTAAGGGAAATCAATTTTGGAAAATGTTTCAAAAGAGTACTTTAAAAAATATACAATACAAAATGTCTTGCCTTTGAACCAGAATTCTGAGATGCACAAGGCAAACAGTAGGTAATGAGAGAAGTAAACACCAGTTTTCCAGCAGAATCAGCCCTGAAACCAAAACTTAGGAAGGAAGCTGACCATTAAGTAAGTAGCCCAGAGGAACAATAGCTCAGGCGTAGCCTAGGGTAAGTCTAAACCTGAGAAAACTGGAATTAGACAAACTTCTTGTCCCAAGTTAACTTTCCCTTACTGCTTGATTTTAAAATAAGGACAGTGCTGTAAATGAGAATATAAAGTTTAAGTGGAATCTTAGAACTCCTCTGGATGCCAAAGAATTCTTTCAGACCTAAATAAATACTCTTTACTGGATTCAACACTGCTCATTCATATCTTTCTCCACAGGGACATTTTAAATATAGAGGCTTGGGAGACCAAGAACACAGCACGCTAAGAATTTAAGTCTGCTATAGTCTAATACTAGCTCTAACCAACTCACATTACAGCATGAGAGCTTGTCTATAGGTAGATTTCTTGATAATTAAATGAACAAGAAATGCCATAAAACCACAGAAAATCATTCTCAAGTTTCAAAGATAAGACATAATGCTCAAGAAATGCTATGAAGTAAACAACTCCAGCAAGAAAATTGCTTTACATTGGTTAGAAGGCCAAAAAAACAAAAAAGTGTCAAGGTCACAACTGTGATTTGCAAATTCCAGTTTATAACTCTTAGGTTAGTAACAAGGATGGACTGAATGTAATCGGACTGAAGGGGGAAAGAGTGGAAAAAGGAAGAGAAAGTGAGTCATCCAACCAGGAGATGAACAAGTTCAACTGTTCAAGACCTACCTTAAGGGTTTGGTTTTGTTTTTTAAATCTTTTTTTCTTCTTCTTTAAAGACTCCTAACAATCCTAAAGGAAATTTAAAAGTAGGAGAAATGCAACACTGGCTCTGCTGGGTCACCCTTCACTTTTGGTCTCTCTCGGTTCAGTTAAGCTCCTTCCAATTGCGCAGCTTGAAAAGGCCCATGGCTTTCAGATGTTTCCTAACCCTTCTCCAGCTGCTTTCCGCAGGCCTGAAGGCCTCTTTAAGACCCAATGGCCATGAAGCAGTCATGAGCTTCCCCACACATACTAGGCTGGAGGGTGCACCTGGAACCTCCTGTGTCTTGGTGTTTGTCCTTCAAGTGTGCAAAGTTTTGCAACTAAGATCTAAACCAGCTTCTCCGCTTAACAAACGCCTGACTCTAGGTTGTGTGGAACCGGTACTAAACTGTCATCTCAGAGCATCTGGAGTTACTTTTTAAAGCCCAGTTCCCATTATTTTAAACATGCTTCATCAGGATTCTTTGACACCTTTAGGGCATTATCCTGGAAACTTGCATGTTATCTGCTATGCTTCCTAAGTACTCCTGAACAAGCAGCTCTGATATGGGAAGCCAAGAAAAAAAAATTGGTCAATAATGGAGCAACCGTGGCTTTGCCAAATTGCTTTCCAACAACACACAAAATACTCTTGCTTCTTGATGGAAATGAGGACATGGTTGAAATCTTCATGATATATATCACTCTTTTTTCCAAAGGCAATATCAAGTGCTTGACAGAAAGATGAAAACTAACCATTACAATCTCACTCAGAAGAATATCAACTTATCCCAAAGAAATACCCTAATGGCATAGCAAAGTGTGGACTATAAAGGCCAAATTTATAACATGTCAGTTCAGTAGAATGTAGGGTTTAATAATTTAGGTTAACTGTTATGCTCTCATTCTTTTCTTTTGCTCCAGTCTGCAATCAAGAACATACCACCAAAGTCAATGGAAGGTTAGAACACACACACAAGTAGTGATGAATGCAGCACGGGAAGTCAGAAATGCCACTTGTAAACGGGTCAAGGAACAGTAAATACACAAATATTCAAAACCATTCGAAGACTGTAAATGCTCCTAGCAGAAAATCAGGTCCCGACTGAATGCTTTGATTATCTCAGAGGACAAGCGAGTATTTGCTGAAAACAATTCCTTTACTCTTTATACTTCTTCAAAGGCTTTAATGTATGTAACTTCAAAAATCAATGATCCTTGCCGAAAAAGGGGAGTCTATTATCCACATTAGACAGAATGGGGAAACTAAGGAATAGAAAGTTCACTGGTTTGTTCAGGGCTGGTTAAGCAGCAGGTTAATAACAGAGTCAGCTCTAGAATCCAGGCCTCCTTACTGAAGACCCAAATTCTGTAAACCCATAACATATTTTTGTTTGTTCTTGATGAGCATAAGAACTTATAATCCCACAAAATTCTGTGTGGCAACCTGGTATCATGGACAACACACTCCAGTTTGCCCTTGATCATCACAGGCAAAATCCCCCTGAAAACTCGGCTTCGTGGCCTGGATGAAATGAGCACTTCCCCAGCATCCTCTGGGAAGGCCATCTGGCATTTGCTGCTGTTCTCCACTGCAATTAACATTTCACACATTTCTTTCCTAAGCCTCCAGCATACCTGATGCAATAGTGGGAGAGAGAAACAAAAGCAGAACTGAGATCAGCTTCACTGCTAAGATAAGAACTTTCAGGGGTAAGAAAAGGGCTAGTAATTGGTCTTAAACCTACTTCGCCAAGTGGTTCATGAGCAGCTGTAACATCTGCCGATTTTTTTCTGGGAGCCGATGAACAAGGCTGTGGATTTCAGAGACCCGAGACTCCTGGTTCTCCAGTTCTGCAAAGGAAGGAGGGAGATAATATTTTATTAGTGTCACAGCTAAACAACTTTAAGAATGAAAAATCAAGGGAAACCAAAGGATGGGCACTAACAGACCAAGGATTTCTCAAAGATTTACAATCTTATCTTGTGTACATACTGCATGGCCAGCATGACTAGATCTGGAAGTCCTTTTAACAGTGCTTTCTGGAACAGGGTTGCCAAAAAAAAACCGTCATCAAAAAATCCAAACCAAGGTGATGATGTGATGAAATGGAGCCAGTCAACTGCACACCCAGAGCTGCTCCTGAGAACAAACTCAGGAGTAGCTGGCTCCCTAAAGGGAAGACTTCATTTCAAGGAAGTGAGGAACTTTATGCACTTGTAAAGTGATAAACAAATCTTACATGAATAACATTGCAAGGGTTTCAAATATCAAAATAACATCTCAAGACGGCATCAAAGAAATCAAAGGAAAATGTCCAGTATCCTCAAGTCACGTATGACAACCAGCCTGCTAGAAAGAAAGTAATGGCAGACAAAATATTCAAGTCTTTCTGCCAACTTGTAACCTAAATCACGGTTTGTCACATTCTCTTGGTTGAACCTGGGTAAGTGGCTTTGTTACTCTGGCAAATAGATTGATGGTGTTCATCACACCTATTTATAGAACTGATGTGAGGTTTAAGTAGAGAATGGTCGCTATGGGTTTGTAATTTCTCTAGAAAGAAATGACATAAACACCATCTTTGCTCCTAGCTTTCTCCTTCCTGTTTTAAGGGGACAACTATGAGTAGATAAGGACACCAGAACATTAGGTACTACTAAATTAGGCCAGTAGTAGCTACCAGAGTAAATATATTTTAAAGGCTGAAAGGAACCCAGGAGAGGCACAAGTTATCAACATAATAATACTGTGAAGATTCATGCTGGATTTAAATCTGATACAGAATCTTTCTGCCTCTTCACAAGAGGCCTGACCCATGTAGCCAGAGATTCCAGTATACTTAGAGTAGCTTGCACCTAATCCCTATGTATTTTAATACCAGTAATATGACACCAGGGACCTGGATGATATAGCTGAAGAATGATCAGAAGCTGTAAATGGAAGACATAATGGAAAAGAGGACTGTGAAGTTATATAAATGGTGTCATATTCAGGGAAACATTTCCAATGCTCAATTTAGGTAATGTGCAATGTCTGATTCATTCTGCAAAATGCTACTCAAAGGCTGGAAAAAACCTAAGAAGTTAGAACTCCAATAATCAAAACTAGAAAGGCAAACTTGTTTTTCTCTATCCCTCCAACATCCTCCTCCCCTAAACAAACAAAAAAAAGACTTCTGAAGATTCTCTCTCCTGCTGTAATTTCAATGTGGTAGAAAGGCCCTTAGCAATTCCTATTTGGTTTCATTTTTATTCTGTGTTAGAATCTCATGAGTATGTTATGTGGCCAGTTTACATGCAGAATATGAAGGGTTAGGTAATGTTTATTTTGGGATACTGACTCTTCTTTGAAATAGAAAAATCTATTCCCTTCCCCTTAAAACTGAGACAAAAAAGACTTACTTGCTGCTTTGATGAAACTTCTTTGAAACTGGTACATCATGAGTGGTCCTGGAAGCATTCTGGAGTGAAAGGAGACAGGCCAATCAGCTTAATAATAAGAATAATCATATTTTCTCAAAATAGCAGCCTAGAGACTGACAAACTGTATTACATTTCTCAAAGACAAAGATCACAGGGAAACAGTAACAATGCAGTTTCCCTATTGCAAGAGTTCAGAGATTTCAGCCAAAATTTTTATTCTCTCTCTTTTTCAGAGGAATAGATACAACTATGTTTCATTGTCAACACTAAAATAGTGCTAATGCAAGAGTCTAACACAAAATAAGAGATTTCCTTTTCAGTCAGTGACTCACCTATCAACAATAGCATTTTAAGATGTGTCTGAGAAACACGCAACTAACTACATATTTGCAATTCTTGATCTTCCCAGAGGTTTGTTGTTAGAATCAATTCATCTAGAAACACTATAAAAGACTTTTGTAGGTGTTTTGGTGGTGAATTCCCTATGGAATATTGCTCCAGAATTCTAAAGGGCTAGAACCCCTAACATTATGTATGATATAAACAAATTTTACCTGCTAGGGTATGAGTATGTTTAACCATAAACTTGAGTTTTTTTCTGATAGTTCAAATAAGAAACTTCTCGATAGGACTATACATTATTCTTGGCTCAGATTTTATTCTCATTGGGTCCCTTAATTCGACTCCTAGTTTTAGTTAACACATTATGTCTTACTCTTGACTCTAATTACCCAATAGCCAATAAAATCTACAACAGCAATTCCTTTTCTGTGGCCTCCTTCCTTTGCTTTCCAGCCAATTGCATCTTCAAAAAATCCGCACACAGACTTATGCTATTTCTGATGACCATTCTCCTCTCCTTTTAAGACTAGGTCCCGGCCGGGCACGGTGGCTCAAGTCTGTAATCCCAGCACTTTGGGAGGCCGAGACGGGTGGATCACAAGGTCAGGAGATCGAGACCATCCTGGCTAACACTGTGAAACCCCGTCTCTACTAAAAAAAAAATACAAAAAACTAGCTGGGCATGGTTGTGGGCGCCTGTAGTCCCAGCTACTCGGGAGGCTGAGGCAGGAGAATGGCGTAAACCTGGGAGGCGGAGCTTGCAGTGAGCTGAGATCTGGCCACTGCACTCCAGCCTGGGCGACAGAACGAGACTCCGTCTCAAAAAAAAAAAAAAAAAAAAAGACTAGGACCCACCTTTTTCTGTAAGAAGAACTATGGTATTCCTGTCTTTCAAGTCCAGCATAAATACTTTGGTTTATTCACGAAACTAAGATGCAGGCAGCTGGTCAATAACCCAACCCTTAATAATGAAAGGAGGTATAAAGAGGGTTCAGTAATATCATTTATAAATGATACAAGGAAAATAGTATCTCCAGGGAGATAATATTGTCCAATCTAAGGGAAGGAGTCAAAAAGGAGTTCCATTACGTTCTCATTTTTAAGAACCACTGTCAGCAGTGTACTCTGTGTAAAGTATGAAACTATCAAAATACATGGGGTATGTAATCATGCATTCTTAACTGAATATGATTCATGATTCCTTGTGTTCTTAACAGATTATTCAGGGACTTTGGGGAAGACCCCATTGTAGGGTCTGTTCAAGGCTAATTATCACAATACTTCTCATATAGAACAAAGTTTCCTAAATCACTCATGGTGTCATTGCACAAAGGCAACCCATCAACTATGGATGATTTACAATTGGTTTGACCAGCTGAGCTAAACGCACCCACACAGAAGCTGTTTCCACATCTCAAACACCCACCCGACAGCTCTCCGGAGTCTGAAAATAAAACTGCTTTCTTCCTGATTGCATGATAACTAGCTGGCACTCTGCCTTGCAAATGGAAAGTCCCTACCTTAGGTAGGTCTTCAGAGCACTAGTGATGGTCTTTATCTCCCATTCAGCACAGATATCTGTTTCTGTCTCAGAAGCAGTCTTGGGGTCTAAAATGAAGAAAAGACAATACATAAAGCACAGCATAAAATGGAACTAATAAATAAGCACACATAAAGGCATCCAATCTTGCTAGTAACTAGAGAAACGCAAAGTAAAACACGACGAGAATTTTTTAACCTATTAAATTAGGAAAATGTATAAAAATCCCAGTATCTATTGCTGGCAAGAATGTAGTGAAACTGATCCTCTCCTATCCTGCTGGCAGCAGGAGAGATAAATGCAACAGTTTTGAGAAGCAATTTGGTAATATGTATCAAAGTCTTAAAAATGTTTACACCCTTTGAACCAGTAATCCCATTTCTCACAGTCCATCCTCAGAAAATAAGATAACGCAGGAGAAAAGTTACAGACCCCAGATATGCTCAGCATACACTCTTCTTTGTAAAAGCAGGAAAAAAAAAAAAAGGAGACAACCTAAATGTCCAATGATAGAAGAATGATTAAGTGAATTACAGTATGTCTACCTGATGGAATATTACCTCGCTGATTTATATGACAACAATGACTGTAAAGTAACATGGAAAATGCCTGCATTATATAATGTCAAATAAAAAAAAAAAAGATATGTTTGTGAGAAACTTTCTCTATGAACTTTTTATATGAACAAGGCTGAAAGGAAATACTCTAAATTAGTGGTTGGGTTAAAGTGGTGGACTGTGGTATCATTTTATTCCATTACTTTTGTATTTTTTAAAAAATTGCTTTAAGTTCAAATGTGCAATGAGAACCACCATAACTATCAGCTCTGACAATTTCTTTTGTCTCTTCTTGCATGGACTTTTAAACAAATCAGTATATTTTAAACAAGCATGTACGATAAAAGATCAGAAGAGGTAATTCCTGTAATCTTCCTGAGTGGCACACAAGGAGATGAGAAGAGGAGGCAGGGGTTAGGGAGTGTAATTGCTTCACAGATCTCCATCCTGTCCCTGGTGAGGCAGGCCAGGTCATACACGTACCGGTGGGAGGGTCACAGAGTCTTTTTCAGGGCACAGGACAGAGAATCCAGCTCCCTCATACTGGCTAAAGACTAGTTCTTTGCCCGCCAGCTCCTAGTCCTTTTTTTTTTTTTTTTTCCTGCATAGCACCTCATTTTGAGTAGGAGAGCAACCCTTTTCCTACTTTTTCCAGGGGTGGAAAATGGGATTCAGGACAGACTGGCCAAAAGTAGATCATCTCTCCGGACTTAATGACTGGATGAGGGATGGCCCAAGACCTAAGCCTGCCCAATCAGAGTAACTCTCCAGGAGTTAGGAACAGATATTTGCTGTTTGCTAGGCTTGCACTGGGAGGTTATGTAACTGCCAGGTGCCACCACACAGAGCCTGAAAGTCCGACAAATCCAGAGATGAGATAAGCAGAAATGGTGGATCCTGAACCCTTGTATTTGCCTCTCCTTCTTACCACATGAGCCAGTAAATTCCTTTTTCCCCTTAAGCCAGATGAGGTCAGGTTTTCGTCTTTTTACGATGCAAAGAGATCTAAATGATGCACCAGGTAAAGGGAGGCAGCCACCAGACTGCATCTTTCTGAACAGTCTCCAAGAATAATTCTGGGATATCAATGAAGAAGGCTGTTCCTCCTGCAGGACCAACAGCCTTTCAGCTGGAAGAAAGTAAGTACTTTCATCCAAATAGAAAGAGGCCAAATACTCATGAATGGCCTCAGGATTTAGCCGATCATCACCAGGTAGGGGCACAAATCCAAGTGGTATCTGCTGCTCTCCGTGTGTTCCCCTGACACACACTGGGTTATGAGAGAGGAAAGGGCCCCCAGCTCATGAAACGTGTGGCTCTCAAAGGCACAATACCTGTATGATGTTTGCAGGTGACCATGAGCAATAAAATGAAGTCTTTCTTGTCACATGAAACAAACAAGGAAGAACCTAAAGAGCATAATTTTATTTCTGGGGCCACAGAACAGTTAATTCCATAGAGTCCTGTCACAGCAAATTTCTGAAAAGTTCACAAAATGTGATTTTCCCAGTATCCAAAATGTCTGCCACTTTAATTCGTGTCTTTGTCATCTTGCACTCCCTGAATGGCTTTTTCCTGCAGAAGAGTATGTATCAAAAACCTCTGCTTTGCATGACCTCTTTCCCTCCCCATCCTAAGACACATGGAGAGCTGCCATCCTGCATGGTTCCTGGATGTGAGACAAATGTTACTGTACATTTTTCTAAGGAAGAAACCAACTTCTACCCAAGAAGAGTGAACATGAAACTGAACAAGCAGCAGTTGGCAACTCTGGGAGTTGTGAACTGTTCCATGAACCACATTTAGCAAACTAATGATTAGCTTCCACTTATTCGGGCTCTGTAACCATAGGAATATTGCATAACATTAGAGAGGAGAGTCAAATTACAGCCCGGCTAAAGGGCTTTTTATAGCACTGATGAGGCAAGGCTCATAACTCAAGCACATCCATTTTAATTCATTTAAAATCCAAACTAAGTTGAATACAGCCTCCCAAGCTACACCATTTTCAGAAAGTGCTGCTGATTTCCACACCTCCCTCCTGATGCTCCCCTCACATACAGAAGCTTCCTGATGGCATCTGAATATGCTGCAGAGACATCATTTACACTCTTCTTTAGAACTCAGTACCTTTCTCTCCACCATGTCCCTTGACCACTGCTGCTCAGGAAAACTGATCTAAACTAGAGGAGCAATCCAGTGTACTAAAGGCATCATGTGGGGAAAGCAGAATGAATGTTATTTCCTCCTGAACCTACTATCACATGAATTCAGAAAACTAGAACACACAGACTGGAAGCAGTGGTTATAAGAGGAGAACATCTTAGAAATGTCACACTTGGATCAGTCCCAAGAGTCATCTAGTCTATCACTGTGCTGCAGACAAAATGAAGGATACTTCGGAGGAAATCACTAGGAAAGTTACCTATGTACACTGAAATTTCCTAATACTACATTATACTGTATGCAAATTAATGTTTTTCTCTCTTTAAGTGAGAAAGTAATATATGCACATGTTAAGAATTCAAAGAAAAAAAGACATATACATGCAAAGGTAGAGGCAACTGCTAATGCCAGTTTTTTATGTGCATATCCTATTCCTAACAGTCCCTTCTGTTTTGAGATCCAAAAGCTCTTACTGGCTCAAGCCCCAGTCTTATGAGGGCCTGCCTGAAGCATCCCAACAGGCAAAGGTTATGGTGGCTGGAGCAGAGGAGGAGGTGAGTTTCCATCTGCGTGTCTCTTCTTTGGGGACTCAGGATCGTGATTAGTAGCCGTATTGCTAGCTCCCAGGATGATCAATCCTCTATCCAAGTAGTCTATCATCTTCTGGTCCTGTCATCCTTGGTCTGCTCCCCTTTACTGGTAGACAAAATTGGACGTTTGCTCTTCTCATGGTTCCCCTACTCCAGCAGTCTACAGTCTTCAAAGTCTGAGCTGTTTCCACTCAATCCTATGTAAGCCTTTAGGTCTTAGAAATCACCATAAAGCATTTTGATTTCTTCAGAAAGAAGTTGTTGATTGCTTTTATTTATGCCACTCTGTGGAAAGGTACAGGAAATAAGGGGCATAGAAAAAAGAAATGCAGACATTCAAGGTCCCAGAGTAAGGGAGGATAGTTCACGGCTGGGTCTGAGGTAAGTGGAGGAAGCATGCTACTATAATTCTGTGCTTTACAGCACTGCTCTATAATACCTTCGTTGTGTTCTCTGTTTTACTAAGTTTGCTTTAAATGTGGTTTCAAAAAAAAAAGAAGAAGAACAAAAAAGGTTACAGGATGAGAAAAACAGTGATGCTGAATTTGCAGTCCTTTACCATCATGGTAAAAACACATACACAAAAGGAACACAAATTTTTAATAGCACAGAAAATTAGGCTCTCCGTCAACATTCTCCTGCCACCAGGATATCCACTAGGCAAAGCTCAGACGAAGGCCTGAGGAAAACTCAGCTAGGGAAACAACGTGATAGGTGGTGGCCCTCTGCCCACCAAAAACTTAGCCCAAGCCACCCGGGGGGGTGGGGAAAAGGCTATGCTGCAACCCCCCAACCCCACTCCAGCACACACACTATTGGGGGCTACTTTCTGGGGCACCCAGAGCTGTCATGAGATTATAATCCAGGCAATGAAATCAGACTGCAGAGCAGAAGTGGAGAGGAGTCCTTTTATATCAAGGCAAGTGAATTCAGGAGAGCCCTAGAAGAAACATGACAGCCATGAGGGAAGAACCACAGCACGCTTCAGATTACCCAGGAGTAAACTCGGCTTCTCCCAGGACCATGACCAAATAGCAAAACCAGGAAAAATCAATGCAGGCTTAGAGGTCCACTAAATGAAAGCTTTAAGAATACCAGAAAGTTGGCTCAAATCATGTACAATAGCCCTCCAATCATCATGTAAGATAATGATTCTAATAGCATTCAGGAAAATAGCAGAACAAGGAGAATCTCCACAGTGAGTTTAAAAGCAAAGGTTTGATTAAACAGAAGATATAAACTCCTATAAAATATTTGTTGGCAAAAAATACAGAGATCAAAGCACTCTGAAAAATAATTCAGACAGCACCTGCTCTGTCATATAAATAAAATTCAAAAAATATGGATGCCAGAAACTAAGACAACAAAATAAAACAAGAAACAGACCGAAATAATAAAGATTACAGCTGAAAAGTAGAAATAAAAGGAGTTAAAAAAGATAATAAAGACACAGGAAAATCCAATTACAAAAAGTTAAAATATGCATTGTAAACAGCAAAATAATAATCACAGTCGACCCAACAATTTTAAATGAGTAACACTGAGATGGGGGACAAGTTTGAGAATTTTTGCTAGAATGTAAAGAATCGGGAGAAAAATTAAACATTAAAAAGGTGAAAAATGTCAGTGTGTTTAAAATATTGAGAATTATAGAAAAACAAACAGTAAAGAGATTTGTTTGCCTTTAGAAAAATATGTATACAAACTCCTTCAATGGCCCCCAATATGTATAAAGGAATGATTACATGGTGATAT